TAGTACCTTACGTTTGAACGGTAAGGGCTAGGGCTTTCGTATTTCAAATATGTAATCCTTGTGAAAAGAACTTTTATTGGACACGAAGAACTTTGACCCTTTGACCTAGACCTTGGAGAACACATGTGTACATCTTAACCTTTTTTCTGTTTCGTTTCTATGACAACTGTGAGCGACTCATTACAATTATTTTAAAAGTAAAAATCACTTTGACACATTGCAAGGAATTAACATTGAAAGTTTCAAAACGATTGCTTGAGTAGTTATTGAGAAAATCGAAATTAAGGAATTTTAACATTCCCCTGGTTTCCATGGCAATAATCGAGTATTTGAAAATTTTAAATGCAAGGCGCACAACTACAGATACTAATCATTAAAATAAAAAGAGTTTCATTACGAACGTTTAAGGGACCAGAGAGAACACTCTCGGACAAAATTCGTCGCTTTTTACAGGTTTCCATGGCAACGGTAGACATATTGGAACTGAACGACCTCACTGCACAACTACAACCAGTGATCGTCCTTTGAGGAAAGTTTCAGGAAGATTGCCCCAGCCATCTCCGAGAAACAGCCTGGATAAAAAAAACATGCGTACAATATCAATATGTCGTCCCCGACTTCGTTCGGGGCGACATAATAATAAGAAACAGAGTAAAAACAATATGTTCCCCAACTTCGTTTGGGGAACATAATAAATATTATCAGTAGAACACGTAGAATTCAAAAAACCCCATGACCATATTTGTGGGGAACGAGAGAGTTCCCCACAATTCTGAACTTTCCCCATAAGAAAGGTCCTTTGTCAGGTGTGAGTTCCCCACAAGTCGGTGAGCGCGAGTGCTCTCTCTCTCTCTCTCTCTCTCTCTCTCTCTTACAATACACATTTTACTTGCAAATGTATTTATAACCACAAATTTATGGTTTATGTTAGTTGAATTAATTTACAAATAGAATATATACATAATTGTAGTATTTATTTGTGAATTAAACCCTTGTCACACCGGGACTGCGTATTCACGGCGATCGCACGGCGTCCATGAAAATGCAAAACGCCGAGGTGATCGCAGTAAAGTCTCCTACAGCGCCGTGGCAACGCGGTGAGATCTCCACTGAACGCGGTAGGATCGCGAAGTGTCTCCTATAAAACCCCTGTCACACCAGGGCTGCGTCCTTACGGCGACTGCACGGCGTCCTCAAAAAATGCAAAACGCCGAGGTGATCGCAGTGGAGTCTCCTACAGCGCCGTGACAACGCGGCGAGATCTCCACTGAACGCTCTAGGGTCGCGTAGGGTCTCCTAGAACGCCAGGGGACGGCGATCACTTTGGGCATGCACAAAGTACGCGCCGTGTGATCGCGGTCTGATAAGAACGCCGTAGAAGCGTAGTATGATCGCCGTAGCAGCGCGGTGAGATCTCCAACAACGTAGTGGAAGCTCCGTACGAGCGCCGTGAAGACGCACATGATCGCGGCACGAACGCAGTGATAGTAGACTGCGCTTCCACGGAGACCTCACGGAGATGTCGCGGAGTCCTTGGAGATGTCACTGCGTTTCTATCGCGTTTTTACGGCGCTTCTAATGAGATTTATCGTCTTGTGATTTTTTGGACTGCGATTACACGGCGACAACACGGAGTCGTCACTGCGATCATTGCGCTCCCATGGCGTTTCTACAGCGTCCGTTGGCGATCACAATGCGCTTTCACGGCGTTGTTAGGGCGTTGTCAGCCTGCTCACAAAACAAGAGCGATGGGATCATATTTGTTCAGCAATTATTCTAACGTATTTGTTGCACTAGGAGCATTTGAGTGAAAACAAAAATGGAAGAGAAAATTACATCAGAACTTGTTCTGTTGTTTCACTTAAATTTTGTAGAAAACTTTTCAGTGTGTTTACTTTTTTTTACATTCATAATAAAATCAAAGAAAATCTAACAACACATCTGAACCGATAAAATTTAAAAAAGGGAATTTAATAATAAAACTATTTATAATTAAGTACTAAATTATGTAAATAGAACATTTTTAATCAATAAGAATATTTCTTGGCATGATTAGAAGTTTTTTCATCGTGTAACTTAAATCTTTAAACAAAAATGTTTTACATTCCTTAAGAATTTAAATCAATGAGTATAGAACGCATTGTGAACGTATTGTGAACGCAGCCAGCGCAGTGAGAACGCCGTGAACACGAGGTGAAAACTCCTAACGCGCCGTGAAAACTCCGCGGAATCGCAGTCAATCGCCGAGAGATCTCCTTGGGAACGCAGTAGAACGCCGTGAGATCGCCGTAGGATCGCGTCCGTCGCCGTAGGGACGCCGTGACATCTTCATATTATGAAAATTTTACAGAAATTTGTGCAGTTTTCCTGAAAATTTAACAACGCCGTAATGACTCCGTGTGAACGCAGCTTGGTGTGACAGGGCCTTAACGCCAGAGGACGGCGATCACTTTGAGCATGCACAAAGTACGCGTCGTGTGATCGCGGTCTGATAAGATCGCAGTAGAAAAGTAGTATGATCGCCGCAGCAGCGCGGTGAGATCTCCAACAACATAGTGGGAGCTCCGTACGAACGCCGTGAAGACGCGCATGATTGCACTGCGCTTCCACAGAGACCTCACGGAGACGTTGCGGAATCCTTGGAGATGTCACTGCGTTTCTATCGCGCTTTTACGGCGATTTTAAAATTTTTACAACATTGTAATGACTCCGTTTGCACGCAGCTTGGTGTGACAGGGCCTTTACGTACCAATTTCCTTTAAGATTGATGTTGTTTAAAGATAGTTTTATTTGGAATCATATACATGTAATTAAATTTTAGCTGTTTTCAATGGAACAAATTTTGCAAATCTGAGCACCGCTTTTTTCTGAATTTGCACATTTTTAACCTTACAAAATTGGTTATTCATTTATAAGAGAAAAAACTGAATCAACTGATGACTGAATATTTCAGTCCTTTTTCTCTGTTGTAAACTATTTATTACCATACAGATTTTCATGATGAAACAAGACAAGAAGATATCAAAGGTTTGTGATTTTAATAATAATATAATGATGATAATATGAATTCTGTATACTACTTAAAAAAACAAACCTCATCCTTCGTATATAGTTAAATTAAATATCAAATTTGCTCATACGGTAAATTAAAGACATTCATTATTAGTATTGTAAATCAAAACTGTTTTCCTCCAATTCATATATGCACAATTTAACAATTAAATTTAGCTATAACTTGTATTTTAACAGATTATTTTCAAATGTTACATCACAGCTATCGAATTGAAGATATTTTTAGCGTTTAAATTTTACAAATCTTCCAGAGTAAAGTTTCATAGTAAAACAAAGTACATGCATCAAAGTTTTACTGCAGTTAAATACAGTAACCTATAGTTAACTACTTAAGAGTAATTTTTGTTAGGGGAGGTGTGACTTTTTTTAAAAGATGAATTCAAAAATGTTCTTTATTAATCGCTTTTTTGTTACATTTTGATATTTATTAGTAAAAAAAGCTTACAAACAGCTAAACATTAAAATATAACATCGGAAAAAGTCTTTGTTAAAATTTTCTCTAGATTTTATTTACATTTTACAAACACTTGGTCCTCTAATTGTGCCTAATATCATTACCATTTTCTAAGTTTCACCTCACTTTATTGGTATTCAATCCAATCGAAATTGATCTGATTTGAAAAAGAATAAAAATAATTTGCTAGAAAGGTTTTTTTGTTATTTACAACGAATTTTATTTTAGCTCAAGCAAAGGAACATCTTGAGAGCTATCGGGAATTTGACGAGTACTACGTTGAAACGTCCTTATATAAGAAGATACAGAACTGCTTCAAAGAAAATGGAGTAGTAGTCATAGAGGGACCAACTGGTTGTGGCAAAACAGCAGCTGCAACACATTTGTTATTAAAGTATTACGAGTTGACAGGTATTGACATAATGAAAGTAACACAATTTACCGATCTATATCAATGTAAGAGTGAAGGGGCATCATCGGTCATTTTTCTAGTGGATGATTTAGATATTGATAACCCTGATATGCTGAAATGGAAAGCTGCTTTTGAGGTGCTATACACAAAGATGAAAAAAGCACGTGAGATACATCGCAGAGGAGCTCACAGAATTAGATTGGTTGTTACAGCGTTTCATATCCCATCGATATTACTAACTCTCCCAATATTTTCAAAAAACTTTTTAATTCTTGAATCAGAATTAAATAAGAGGGAAAAAATTAAAATTTTGCGGAAACAAATGAAATACGCTAGTGAACATTTGAATATCAAGTATGAATCAATTAATAAAGATGTTCAGGAAAATGTTGAATCTGCAAGTACAGTTGTTGGATTTCCTCTCGCTGCCCAGTTGTACGCTAGAGAAGAAAAATATCGTAAGAAAGGAAAGGAGTTTTTCGAAAGTCCAAAGGTATTTTTCAAAGATTCATTGAAAGAGTATGTAGAAAACGATAAAAGCAAAAGCATACTCACAGCACTCATCATAGTGTATTTGCGTGAAATATATGAAAGAAACGGAAATATACCAGACGATATAGCTGTGGCAAAGCTAGCCTTCCCAGAAACATGCAAGAAGGTCATAGATTCCCATATAGTCAATAGACTGAAATTGAAATATGAGAGTGTATCTAATTCTGCAACAAAGCTTCTTGGACTTTTCTTTTTGAAAACAGAGGAGGGCACCTATAAGTTTTGTCACTCGCTTGTTTTGGATTCAGTAAGTTCCTATCTTTTTGACGAGTACTTTGAAACTGTTGTTGAACATTTTCCTTTGGCTGTCATTGCATATGAAACACACGAATTTTCGGATTACACAGAAACACAATTCTCTTTTATCAGTGACAGATTGATAAGGGAATTGGAAGCTGGAAATTTGGAAGACGTTTGTAGGTGTACCATTCTGAAAAATGAATTTATTTTAAAAATCATGAGAAGAAGATTACAAGAAAATGAAACAACTTTGAAAAAAATATTAACGGTATTCGACTGTCAGCATGAACATTTGCGACTTACATTTTGGGCAGGTCGATATGGACTGTTGAAATTTTCAGCCATGCTGTTAAATTTTGTAGATACGCACATCTTGAATGAGCCGTTATTGAATCGATACTTTTCGCTACTAGGAGAATTTTCTTTAAAGTCTCCAAGAGACCTGAATGATACAATCCACAACATCAAAAATTCATCAGATATTAGAAAGGTATTGTTCGCTGAAAGGCAGAGTTTTATTCATGAAATAATTTCATCCAACAGACAAGATGGTGATGTCAAGGCAATCCTCGAACATCTTGTAAAGGACGGAATATCCATGGATACTCTTGACAGAAACAAAAGAACGCCATTGATGATTGCTGTATATTGTGACAAAGACAGGGGCTCAACAATTGACCTGTTGTTGGCAAAATCAGATTTGTCAAAAGTAGACAGCAAAGGTTATTCTGTTTTTCATCATTGTGTTGCAGCTGAGAAAAATGATAAAAAATGTTCTCTCATTCTTTCGAAACTTCTTGGTTCTTACAACATTCCTACAAATGTTTTGAATCTTGAAAGCAGTTCTGGTTTGACAGTTCTGCACAGAGCGGTCATTGTAACAAATCACAGCAGAATAATTTGCATGCAGATTTTGCTTGGTTTTGATAAAGAACTCTGTAAAAATGAGATGCTAGATAAAACAGGTAGATCTCCAATATACAATATGATTAAATATCTGAATAAAAGGAGCATATTTGTTGAACTGGAGAGATTGATTCGAGCATGTATACTCTTACTACATAACTGTTCCCCTTATGACAAGGCAGACAGCGATGAAAAAAGTGCTTGGGATGTTATTAAAGAAAACAAATCTGGTATTCATCAAAAATTATTTCAATTAATCAAAGTTAGTCCAGATCAAGAAGAAATAATTGAAATCATTTGTTCTGTACTCGACGACTTACCACAGAATGCTGAAAGAAGTGATGTCCCTTTCGAAACACTTGTACCAAAAGGATCGGAAATCTTTTCTGCGGGTTTAAGAATGCTCTTTAATAAGGCAGCTCAGTGTTTGTGTTCTAAAACGTTCAGTGACGTTCAAACAATGTAATTTAAGGAATTGTTTTAAACCTTTTAATGTGTTTTCAAAATCTTTTAGAAAAACTGCCACAATTGATAACGGTACAACATAAAGAAAGTCAAATATATTTGTGTATTTAATACTCCAGCAAGTAAGCTTAGTAATGGAGAGACTGATTATAGTATTATTAAATGTAGTATACTAGTATTTCCACATCTTTGACACTGAGTCGATGTCGCCTCATGCATCTTTGACTCTGTTTAGATGTGAAATACGTAATTGTGTTTACCGTACATTTTTATGCCATACGTAACCTCATTGCATAATATTATAAACATTTATAGTTACTGTAGTTTTGTTACATGTGTCTCTGTATCTAACATAATATGTTTTATTCTGTTTGATATAACCAATTATTATATGCCTTTGGTATTTTTTAATAATTTTATTTAGTCTAAATAGTCTAATTTGATTGGACTAGACAGTCACATGACTTTGTTTTATATAGTATAAAGAATGTAGGTATAGAGCCACGCCCCCTTGGCAACATTGAGCTGGAACTACTTTTTACCATAACTTCCTGTTTACATTATAGTTTATAGTAAAATGTTAATCATTGAAAAGAAATAAAAAATATTTTTAAAGAAATTTTTTTAATTTTTTCTTCATGCCATCTTAAAGTAAATTACACAATTATTATGTAAATAAATAGTCAAGGCACTAATAAGATGGAACTATATGAGTTGTAATTTGTTGTATATTTCACAATGGCAGATTTTGACATGCTGGGGGTAGGAGAAAATGTTGAAATTGAAGAAATTGATGGTGAAACCCTTTATCAAATCTTTGATGGGGAACTTCATGTATCAACATCTAGAAATTAGGCTGAGGAAGAGATGGAAATGGTTTTAAATCCTATAAAAACAGAGGTAACTATGCTTAGAAACCCAGAATTAGACTGCAGGAAAAAAGATTCAAAACTGCTAATGAAACAGAGCTGCAGGAATTGAAAGAAAAAAGGCAATCAAAAGCTACAAAGTTTAAAACAAATTGAGGAGTAAATTTGTTTCAAGGTAAATGCATGTTTTAACTTTTATAAATGTAAATTATATCACGTCATCATCATTTTTGATATCCAGATTGGGACTTGAACCCAAATTCCCCACACAAATTGCATGTTTGCCTTACCATTAAGCTATCTGGATTAATATGAAATTTGACTTGATAAGTTGATAAAAAGAGGTCCCCCTTTTTGTAGAATGAAGTGTTGAAGCTTTGGGACTGCCAACTGATTTCCACAAAATTTCCGCTACTGAGCTGAATAAACAACTTGAAAAATTTTATGCAGAGGCTACACCTAAACCCAATGAAAAAAGATCACAATCTATGACAAAAAAAAACAAGCAATAGAATACCACAGTACATGTAATACATACAAGAGCATAAGATCAGCAATTAATCGCCATGTCCACGACACTGGACGTCAGTTTTACATAGTGCGTGACAGAGAATTTAGGGGTATCAATAATGTCTTAGACGGAAAACTAAAAAAAAATTACAAGAAGGGCTCTCTCGACCAACAAAGCACAAGGCTGTTATTCCTAAAAATGATCTCGATAAAATTTCAGCATACCTTTATGGAGATTCAGCTTCTGTGTCTTTAAGATTCCATATCTGGTTTTTAAGCGCCATTCAGTTTGTTAGCAGTGGACTTGAGTTTCACGAGCAACTTAAGGTCAACTCATCTGAATTTCACTTCGATGAAAATGGACAAGAGTACGCTGTTTTGTCTCATGAAACTAAACAAAACAAGAGGCCATTGGGCCACATCGCTCACCTGAGCAAATTGGCTAGGAAATAAAGCAGAAATCACCTCAGTATTGAGAAGTTTACATGGGGGAGGGGTGTCTGGAATTTTAAACTACCAACTACTTGATGATTGATGATGCTTCCATACAACAAATGCCTTTGCTGTTTTGAGGCAGATCATTTTTTTTTCCTATTTATTCGTTTGAACCCCCTCCCCCATTGTGACCCAGTCCTACCCCTAGGAGCCCTAATTTGAACCAGTATGACTTTTTACTACCTGAGAATGCCTCAATATCAATATGATTAAACATGGCTTTTCTGTTCTTGGGAAAAAAAATTCATTGATATTTCTAGGAAAAACTTTGATCCCCAATTGTTGCCCACCCTATCCAACCCCTACTTCCCTAAATGACTTGAGCAATCTTGAATCAACACTACATGTGGATGCTTACATAAAGATATGACTAATATTTCAATATTTTTCCTATATATTCCTATGTAAAACTTTGATCAGCCATTGTGGCCACGCCTTACCCCCGGGGGTCATGATTTGAACAATCTTGAATCTACACTACCTGAGGATGCTGTCACATGAGTTTCATCTTTCCTGGCCCAATGGTTCTGGAGAAGAAGATTTTTAAAGATTTTTCCTTTATATTCCTATGTAAAACTGTGATCGTCCATTGTGGCCCCGCCCTATCCCCGGGGGTCATGACTTTAACAATTTGAATGTACACTACCTGAGGATGCTTCCACATGAGTTTCATCTTTCCTGGCTCAGTGGTTCTGGAGAAGAAGATTTTTAAAGATTTTTCCTATATATTCCTATATAAATCTGTGATCGGCCATTGTGGCCCCGCCCTACCCCTGGGGGTCATGATTTGAACAAACTTGAATCTACACTGCCTGAGGATGTTTCCACATGAGTTTCATCTTTTCTGGTCCAATGGTTCCGGCGAAGAAGATTTTAAAAGTTTCCATTAATTTTTCATCAATTCATAATTATCTCCCCTTGGAAAAGGACTTGGCCCTTCATTTGAACAAACTTGATTCCCCTTCACCCAAGGATACTTTGTGTAAAGTTTGGTTGAAATTGGCACAGTGGTTCTTGAGAAGAAGATGAATATGTAAAAAGTTTACGACGATGCGCGACGACAACGACAACGACAGACAACGGACAAATTTTGATCAGAAAAGCTCACTTGAGCCTTCGGTTGAGGTGAGCTAAAAACTGACAAGGAGGCATAGATGTGTCTGTAACCCCTAAGAAAAAAGAATGGATGCAGTACCAGATGTATGGGAACACTGACCAGTCAACTCTTTAAGAAGGAATGCCACACCAACTTTTTATTTTATAGATCTCTGAGTCAACCTTTTGAAACAATGGTTTCAGCATTGAAAGGGCGGACATTAGCTCTTAATTATTTTATATGATTTTTTTTGGCATTTTTTCAAAGAAAATGAAAAAAATATTTACATCCAAATTAGATGCTTTCTTGTAAAAAAAATTGCTGTAATTGAATGCATCTACGGAAGCCCGTTGAGGCCAGTTCAGAGAGAGAGAAATATTTTTTATTGCGTTTAATCGCAATAATTATTGCATTTAAATGGAAAACATTGCGTTTAATCGCAATAATTATTGCGTTTAAACGCAAAACATTGCGTTTAATCGCAATAATTATTGCGTTTAAACGCAATCTTTTGCGATTAAACGCAAAGCGCTTTGCGTTTAAAGGCAATGATTATTGCGATTAATCGCAATGTTTTGCTTTTAAATGCAATAATTATTGCGATTAAACACAATGTTTTCTGTCTAAACGCAATAATTATTGCGTTTAAACGCAGAAAAAAAATATTTCTTTCTCTGAACTCTCAACGGGCTTCCGTATAATTGTACAACTATTGGAAATAAATAACATTTCCCCAAGAAAAGTAGTCCGATTAGGTGTTTTAAGGGTTAAAACATTATTGAACCTTACAATAAAATAGATTTCTTCATTGTAAATACATGAAGAGGAAATAAATTAGCATTTTATTCATTTTGTGTTAATTTTGATCGGGATCAGTTTAATTTTGTTCGAGTTAGGTCCAAATATTTAAAAAATAATTTCTCAAAAATTTCTCAATTTCATTTCAATTTCTTTTAAAAATATGATTGACAAACATGTTGTCCTTAGTTGTGACTAGTTTTAAGGTGTTTTTAACCATAGGTTTAAAAAGTATTCACAAATAATATGTTTTATTTTCATAAATATATTTTTTTTTTTTAAATTAAAATGTCTAACCAGGCTTTCTTTACATATTTTATAAGATATTCATATGATGCATTCATTTACAGCAAATTTTTAACTCGAAAACAACTTATTTGGATATGGATATAAATAAGTTATTATTTATATAAGACAAAAATAATAACCTTTATGTGACTTGTATTATTCATATCCAATATTTGTAATTTTATTGATTTTTTCATGCTCTCAAGTCTTACTCATACTTAGCTCTTAGCAACCCGGCTAGGTACAGTGCACCTAACTTTACCCAAACCACAGGAATTTTTGGCCAATCAGCGTGGCTTCTCACCTCGTGTTATCATTTTGTATTTTTTCTACTGAAAGGAGAAGCCACGCAGAAATTTCAACGAAAATGACCCTCCATCCTACCCCAGAACTACATCCTCAGTTTTCAATTGTTTTCTCCTGCCTGGAGGTACAGTGTACCTAACTTTACCCAAACCACAGAAATTTTTAGCCAATCAGCGTGGCTTCTCACCTCGTGTTATCATTTTGTATTTTTTCTTCTGAAAGGAGAAGCCACGCAGAAATTTCAACGAAAATTAGTTTACCCTCCATCCAACCCCAGAACTACCTCCTCAGTTTTCAGTTGTTTTCTCCTGCCTGGCCTGTATATTTTAGATAACCCATCTTTTTTGTGGACAGGCAGGTTGTGTTTTGTATGGATTTGAGGAGTTGATTTTCATGTGATTTTAGGTTATGTTTGCTGGGGGTCAGATTGCATAATACTTATTGAAGATAACACTTTGTTTGTCAATTTTTCTAGTCCTTTCTGACCCCCAATATTTGTACTAGTTTCATATTCGTCATTTTATGAATAAATGACATTTTTTCAATTCAACACTGTGTTACTGGTTCTGCCTGTCTGGTCAAAAAACAAGCTTAGTCAACTCGGCAAGTTATTTCTGCAACCAACGCAACATAAATAATTTTTTTCATTTTCTTTGAAAAAATACAAAAAAAATTCATATAAAATAATTAAGAGCTAATATCCGCCTTTCAGTGCTGAAACCATTGTTTAAAAAGGATGACTCAGAGATCTATAAAATAAAAAGTTGGTGTGGCTGGATCCTGTATCCTGAACAGTGTCATTTCTTTCCGTTTGTGGGACGATCAGATTGGACAAAGCTCTACTCATTGTGTCCTTCTGGTAAGTAGCGCATTCTCGGCTATAACTCCTTACACAGGATTCGTTTTTATGGCCACTCATGTGCATCATGTGTCGCACTTCGAATCCTGCATCGTTCATTCCCTAATATTTCTCATATAACACTATTTAAGAAATAAAGTTATATTATGAACGGGTATTGCTGTGCAGTGCATTTCATGAATAGCTGTTTTATGCTTATACATGTATATGCTTTCAAAAATAACAATCAGGGAAAGACAAAACTGTGATTTTGTTAATAGCTAATAGTAGAAAGTATGGAGGAAAAAAAATTAGCTGATCAATACATTTACCGATAATATAGATTTAAATCCCATTGGTTCTTGCAAGTC